TTTTTTTTAATGTATTTACTACAGGGTGTGTAGGGTCTCACTACACAGATCGGACTGACAGTGATCCTCCTGTTTTCAGGTTGCCAAACGGGGATTACAGGCATGCACTACCACGCCCAGTCTCAATCGCTGTCTCAGTGCACCCCAGGGGTGGGGCCAGCACAGCACGCTGGGGATCGAACCCTGGTCCCTGCATCTGCCTAAGCAGGGGCTTTAGTCCACTGAGCTATCTGGCCGCCCCTAGATAAGGTCTTTCAATGAGATCAAGGTCATATCAAGGAATTTATGGAGAATATAAAAATATATTCAACCTTTGAAAAATAACTAGAGGGCCAGGATATAGCTCAGTAGCACAAGGCCTGCATGGCAAGTGGAAGGTCCTGAATTCAATTCCCAGCACCAAAAATAAGTAAAGTGGTCCTGAATCAAAAATAACTAGGAGGACTGGGGAGATGGCTCAGTAGAAGGGCTTGCCTGGCAAGAGCAAGGGCCTGCATTCAATCCCCAGTTCTGAAAAAAAAAAAAAACTAGGAGATGGCCACATTAGTTAAAATTCTAGAACTTGTGGTACTCATCAAGGGCAAGACCCTTGCCATGTGGAGTTTATATTTTGGTGGGTATGACAGAAAGAGATGAATGGGGAAATACAGAGCAAAGGGAAGCAGTGTACTCAATGAGGTGACCTGGGCTTATAGTTCCAGTGTTTGTGAGGCTGAGGCAGGAGGACCACAAGCTAAAGGCCATCTTGAGCAACTTGTGGAGACCCTATTGTACCAATAAAGAAATAGTCTAGAGATGGAGCCCACCGGATTCCCAGAGCTATGTTAGATGGATATCATGAACCCAGCTCATGCGGGTAGCCCTGCAGACATGTCCACTAACAAAGCGTACAGTTACTGTGCAGTAACACGGCTTCTCTGTCTTAGGTTGTCTTCCGAGGGGGTGAAGGGGCTTTGCAGGTTTTACCTCCGCTGGTGGATGTCATCCCAGAAGCAAGGCTGAACTTGGTGATTTACTACCTACGTCAGGGTAAGAAGCAACTGTCTTGTTCCTACTAAAATAGCCTATTTGGGTTGGTAAATCTCTGCACGAACAACTTGCTTAACTTTTAAAATCCATGATATTTACAAGGATGTATTTTCCACAAGTTCAAAGGACAGAACAGACTTCTTGGTGATTATACATAGTGCCTTTCCTCTGTATCTTCTTTCCTATTCTGTTGCTACCTACCTCTTGTTTCTTTTTTCTTCTGTCCTTCACTTTCTGCCCATTCTTTTTTAATTTTTTTTTATTTTTATTTATGTATTTGGTATAAGGTCTCACTATGCAGCTCAGATCCATAGTGATCCTCCTGTCTCAGCCTCCCTAGGGCTAGGATTACTGGCGTGTGCTACCACACCATTTTAGGGCCAACGCAGCATCTGTTGCTGGGGATCGAGCTTGGGTCCTTGCGGGTTGCCAGGCAGACACTTAGACTACTGAGTTATCTTCCCAACCCCTGCCAATTCCCTTTTGATTTTTCCATTGCTCTCTTCCCTTTGTATTTCTTCTTTTTTTAGCTTCCTCATAGATATAATGTACACCTACATTGTGTGTGTCTGTGTGTATCTGTGTGTGTGTGGTTTTTGAGACCAGGTCTGTGTTGTTCAGGTGAGCCTTGAACTCACGATGTAGCCCAGACTGGCCTTGAGCTCCTGGTGATCCTCCTGCCTCAGCCTTCCAATTGCTGGGGGTATAAGCAACATGTCCAGATCATTTTCTTGTCTTTTATTTTTCATCACCTTTTTCTATTGGCTGCAGTGTCTACCTTTCTGTTTATTTGTATGCCAAGCATCCTATAGGAAGTGTTATGATTCAAAGAGAATGTAATATCCATTGCCCTTGAGAGAAGGTAAACTCGCTAGCCACATGCTGTAGGCAGCTTTTCTAGCAGTGAGCTGTTTGGGGCTGTGGCTACCAGGTTCATGGTGTGGGTCTGTTGTGCACCGGTGCACCAACCAGACCACTTGCTTCTTGGCCCAGAAAACACGCCCATCAAAATCGGATCATGAAGTACAGTCTTATTTCACAGGTAAACAAAAAGACCTGTGCTTTTGGGTAAGAATTAAAGAACCACAGCAGCCCCACCCTCAGACATACTGTGTGGCCACCAATCTGGCTGTGGTGGCAAATGCCAGTGATCCCAGCCCTGGGGAGGCTGAAAACAGGTGGATCACTAGGAGTCCGAGCTGTGTAGTTAGACCCTGTACCAAATACATATATAAAAGAAATTAAAGAATCAGTCTGCATTTTATAAATTAATTTTATTATGAAAAAATTTAAAACAGAAGCATGTATTATAACACGAAAATATGAACCAGACATTCAATAATGCAAGGTATTACTAATATTTTAATTTGTGATCACTTGTTTTTATTCAAATCTTGACCTTATGTCATTTCACTCCTATTACTTACTATGTCTGCTTTTTTTTAATGATTTTTTTTTTTTTTTTTAATTTTGGCAGAACTGGGGATTGAGCTCAGGCCCTTGCGCTTGCCAGGGAAGTGCTTGCTCTACTGAGCTATCTCCCCAGCCCAATTTTTTTAAAAATTCTTTTTCTTGTCTAAATACAATGCCACTGACATATTACATCCAGCCCATATTCTTAGCTTGTTTTATCTGAATTTTCTAAAGATACTGCATGATTTTTTTTCCCCCTTTGGGTCTTTTCGAGACAGCATCTTAGTATACAGTTCAGGCTTGTCCTGAACTTACTTCACTGCCCAGCCTGGCCTCAAACTCACAACAGTCGGATTGCCTGAGCCTCCCAAGTGCTGGGATTACAGGTGTGATAACTCTACAACATTGAACTTGATAGAGAATTAGAGGACAAGGGACGGGGAGATAGCTCAGTACAGTAAGTACTTGCCTGGCAAGCACAAAGTCCTGAGTTCAAACCCTGGTACTGGAAAAAAAAAAAAAAAAAAGAATAGAGAATTAGGGGGCCAGGGAGATGGTTCAGTGGAATAAGTGCTTCCCTGGCAAGCGCAAGGGCCTGAGTTCAATCCCTGGTTCTGCCAAAAAAGAAAAAAAAAAGAGAGAGAGAGAGAATTAGAGGTAGATAAAACAGATCGTGTTTCTGTGTGTGTGTGTGTGTGTGTGTGTGTGTGTGTGTGTGTAGCAGGCTGAGGATCAGACCCATGGCCTTGCATGTGCTACACAAAGCTCTTCACACTAAGCTACATCCCCAACTCTATTTTCTGTGACTACTTGAATACTGAAATATCTTTGGGGGGACCACTTCAGAAGGCTTTGCTGAAATACAGATGACTATAACTTAGTTCTTGTTTCAGATGACGTACAGGAAGCTTATAACTTAATTAAAGATCTGGAACCTACTACTCCTCAGGTAACTGAGCATGTTAGACATGTCCAGTGGGAAGCGGGTGTCAGCAGAGGTCCTGCCTGCTGGGTCTCGGGAGGGGCCATCCCTGTCGAGCCAGCCGTGCTGTGTGTGCCTGCTCAGGGCTCTGATGCGGGGAGATTCCCTAATGCAGTTGGCTCCTCCAAAAGACTAAAGTAGGGAAATACAAAAATCTGGAATTCTGGTGAAATGACTGGGCTTATCGATTCCTCTCACTGGTAGACTCACTAGTAGCTTGCCTTTCTCACCTATTCAAGTTCACCTCGCAGTTATGGCCAGGCAGGCCAGTGTCGTGTGCCTGACTCTGTGGTCCCAGGTACGTGGCAGGCATCCGCTTTGTCAAGGGACAGACCAGGTGAAAGTGTTTCTAGACCCTGTGGCATCTCAGCAAGTATATTCCTCAAGTGCATTAAAACCTTCACCATCTTTTGAGAATTTACAAATACGGTGGATTCAGTTCTGTGGTCACTTGCCTGCTGGAAGTGAAATGAAAGTCTCCTAATTCATCCAAGCCACTCACAGAACAGAGCAGTGACTCAAGAGTGAAGGACTGAACTGATACGAGGGATGAGGTAGGAAGTCATCGCATATGCCTGTGCCCATTAATGGAACAGTGGTGCTGTGTTTTCCAGGAGTACATCCTCAAAGGAGTGGTCAATGCGGCTCTGGGCCAGGAAATGGGTTCGGTGAGTCTGAAATCACAGCTGTTCTATATGGTGCTTCCCTGAAAGTCAGACTGCGTCTTATATAGGTTTTGCTCCAAAAGATGCAATAGATGGGCAAGCTCGAGACCAGCCTAGATGCAATAGGGCTTATTTTTCAGGGGCTATGGGGTTTTTTTCATTTATAACAATTTACATTTATTCATGTATAAAAATCTATACTTATGGGGGCCAGGGATATAGCTTAGTGGCCTAAGCACCTGCCTGGCAAGCACAAGGTCCCAAGTTCAGTCCCCAGTACTACAAAAAGAAAAAAAAGAATCTATAATTATTCATGTGCAGAAATCTACATTTATCTGAATATAGTCACGTCATCCTCTGGAACATCATCATAACTCTCCAAACCCTGAATTCTACCTAGAATTTCTTGTGCCTCCACTTCCAGTGGAACCCATGGCCCCAATCTCTCACATCCAGCAGTAGAGCTGTCCTTAAACGAGCACATGCCATCCCTGTGGCCTGCTCATAATGCGCCTTACAGCACACAGCGTCCCCGGTCACAAGGAGTCCGGTTAGACGCAGCACATCCCGCTTAGCAAGTGCGCGTGTTAGATGTCCGGGCCTTGTGTCTGCTCCTACCGGTTATGTCACGTGGGTCTCGAGTTCATCTGTTTCCAGAGACATTTACTTCTCCTCCAGAGGAACCCATGTGGATCTTAAGTATTAACATTAACATTTGTTTAGTTATATATTAATATTACTTTATACTTAAGTGTATTTCTTTTGTGTTGCAACAGATGTACTCAGTGTACCCATCTAGCTGACTGTCTTCTCTAGGTCTTATTTTGGGAGTAGGGCTTATATTCTTAGCATCCTAAAAAATCATCCTAAGGCTTACTTTCCACTTAGGAAAGTGATGTTTAAGTCTTATTTTTGAGGAAGTATGGTAGCATACAAAGTTGTAGATGTGTGGAAAAGACCAAAATGCATATCGAAGTATAAATATGCTTTCTGTAGTTCCTTTTACTTCTCTAAATTCCCTAATCCGGTCCCTTTAGAGAAAAAGAACTCGGTTGTCTGAAAACAAGAAAAAAGGCTCTCAACGCTAAAAATTACTGCTTTGTTTTAAAAGATCCCTGTTTTTATATAGTGCTTATATTTCATAAACAAAAAGGTCAGTGCACAGCTTTATTCTAATTTCCAGTGATGTTTAAAACCTCGCTCATCTGTGAGCTTTAATTTTGGCATGTATAAAATAGGGAAAGTTGCTCCAAGTACGCTTTCCTTTTTCTTTAGCTACTGGAGATTGAACCCAAGGCCTTATCCACGCTGTGTATGTAACTCTACCACTGAGCTACACCCTCAGCTCCTCTGAGACAGCTTTTTATAAACACCAGCATTGTCCAGCCTGAAGCTCTTATCCATGTTAATATGGCACATTAAGTTCTTTATGGGTTGAACTTACACCCTTCAAGTTGAGCTACAACTCCAGCCCCCTCTTTTTATTTTGAGATACAGTCTAGCTAAGTTGTCCAGGCTGGGAATAAATCTTTTTATCTCTAGTTTACTCCACAATACCTTTAATAAATAGGGAGTAAATACTTATTGCATAAATAAATGAGTTTAATAAGTACTTCTTGTATCCTTAGCTCCTGTACCAGTTTTAATATGTTATGAAAAGCACTAAATCATTGTTGAATGGAAGAGTACATGTATTAATTAATATAATGTGGGTACTTCTAGCATTCAATTTGTGGATTTGATTTTGTTTTTTTCTTTTCCATCTGAGCCTGCACACCTTCTCATTCCATTTCAGGTTATCATTTTCTAATCACTTATGCTAATGTAATTAGCATTATTTGGAGCATGATTTAAAACAAAAGCATGCAAGGCCTGCCATGGTAGAACTGTGTTATTTTTGCCTTCTTCCTGTATGTCAGCTCCATTTTTTTTTCCAGAGGGATCATATGAAAATTGCCCAGCAGTTCTTCCAGTTGGTAGGCGGATCTGCAAGTGAATGTGGTATGTCGGAGGTCCAGGTGAACGCAGTACCAGCCAGGAAAGCCTGATTCCTGTCCAGGGTTGTACATGTGTTAGCTCCCCCTTATGAGTGGCAGTGAACAAACAAGATTAGAAGTAGGCCTTCTGAACATTGCTGCTAAAAGCTAATAAGAGAATAAGCAAAGGAGAATAAATTTACTCCTTAGCTCATGAGAATTTTAAAAATGTGAATCCATTATAAACATAAAACAGTATTTATTGAATCTTTAACAGCTCCTCATGTATGAAGCTTTTGCCACCTTGTAGAAGTTCCTTTTTTCCCACTGGGTCATTTGCCTTTCAACTTTGTCCATTTTTTCCTACATAAAAATTTTAAAATCATATTTAAGTTTTACCTTTTCCATTATTATTTCTTACATGGATACCAAGCTTAGAAACTACCATGTATATAATGTTTACATGTTTCCCAGTAGTGACCTTGTACCTTCATTGTTTTTATTGTTAAAGTATTGATTTTATCAGTTGAGACTCTGTACAATTCGAGGAAGCTATAAAGGCTTACTTGCCAGTGTGAGCTAATACGGCGCCTCTTTCACTTGTCTGTGGTTGGCATCTCTTCCGAGTAACAATATTCATGTTGCACTGACTTCCCAATATTTTTACCCCCGCCCCACCTCCAGATAGTCATAAATATTTCACCAACACCATTTATTGAATAGTATTCCTTTTTCTTTTTTTGAGATAGTGTCCCACTATGCAGTTCAGGCTGGCCTTGAACTCACTATGTAGGCCAGGCTGGGCTCAAACTCAGCAGTCCTCCTGCCTCAGCCTCCTGAGTGCTGGAATCACAAGTGTGCATCACCACACCTAGCTTGAACAGTATCTTATTTCCCTGTTCTGTTTGTTTGTACAACAAAAATGTATTGAGGTATATAGCAGCGAATAAAAGAAAACTCCCTTGCATTGTAGAGGTTCCATCTAGTAAGACAGACAGACTGGCAGTGTAATACATTAATGAGTATGTAGCCCATCAGGCTGTTATCTGAACTGGGAAGGCCTGTATCAGAGGCTGAAGCTATCCCAGCCCAGTTCCCTGAGGAAAGTTGGCTCAGGCCTAGAACCAGCTAGTGCCATGGAATAATACTTCTCCTTGAGGGTGCTGCTTGGTTTTCTTAAACGATTGAGAGGAGAGAAACCCAGTCACAGGAAGGAGTGTGTAGGTGTCCGAGTTTAATGAAAGAGCGGAAGCCCTGAGGAGAGGTTCGGAAGCACTGCTGGGAGTGTGCCAGTGCGTGCGTGCTCCCCGGAACGCCAGGCACAAGCCCCCAGCGGGATGGCCAGTCACGTCCAAGTTCAGTGGTCTCCACAGTGCTATGGATGGAGTCTGTAATTTTGGAAGTTAGAGAGATGTCTTGGAGTACACCGTTGTCCCTGAATTAGAAAATAACTCAGATTTCAACCTAAGAGAACTCCTGTTCCATGAATTTTCTTGGTTTCTATTCTCTTCCATTTCAGATACCATTCCAGGGAGGCAGTGTATGGCTTCCTGTTTCTTCCTGCTTAAGCAGTTTGATGATGTCTTGATTTACCTCAATTCATTTAAGGTTAGCTTAGACTTGTCTATGACTTTAAGTGTGAAATGCTATATAGAATGTGTGAGAAGTTAAGAAACTTGCACAGATAACACTTTTCTCTCTGCTGGCATGAGTAACATCAAGGACTTAGACTGCCCTCTTAAGAGTATTTCTTAGGGGTTGGGGAGATGGCTCAATAGGATAAGTGCTTCCCTGGCAAGCACGAAGGGCCTGAGTTCAATTCTTGGTTCCACCAAAAAAAAAAAGTATTTCTTTGTCTACCCAGTAAAACAGTGGTTTTCTATTGTGTCTGTTCATGCCCAGTGTAATCTGGCCGGGGGGTGTTTTTCAGAGCTACTTCTACAATGATGACATCTTTAATTTTAATTACGCCCAAGCCAAAGCTGCAACAGGCAATACCAGTGAGGCAGAAGAGGTGAGCACCTACTTTTATTCTATTTATCTTTTACTGAAAGGCTGACATTTGCTAGGGTACCTACTTTTAAAGGCATTTGAATGTTTCTATCTAAAAGCATCCTGATCTTTTTCTCACCTACAACAAATGATCAAGGGTAAAGGATTATTAGACATTTCTTTGTTCTTAGGGTACATTAAAAAGTATAATAAAGGAAC